ATATACGGTCGTCTACGACCGGAATTTACGCCGTATACAACCGTACACGGTCGGATACGACGTCGTATACGATCGTTAACGACTGTCGTAATTCTCGTCCTGGGAACGTTCTCTTATTATACTATCTTGTATCTAATCTTCTAAACCTTGTTATAAATGTCGCTAAAGTGAAATAACCAATGTAATTGTCTCATATCAATCACATTCACTAATCAATGTTATATTTATTCATGTATTCCTAATAATATTGTATTTTACTTCATTTGTTTAACCCTGTAATAATTCAATAACTTTAAAGTTCAAGAACTGATCCCTTACTTACTTATAATTTATTCCAACTCTACAATATTTTGTACAGTACCATAATACGTTCTATTTTGCTCTGTTAAGCGATTACCTACTTTCTACCTTTACTTGATAATGATAATAAATTTATCGAAACGTCGTAAGATGACTAAAAACTAAAAACTATTTGTCTTTTTATTTATTTAAGCTGCTGTAAAAACTATTTTTCATATTACTCAATTTTTTTGCTCATGAATGAATATAACTACTTGTTAGGTAGATACATCAGCAGCAATGAGCCAGTTTGGCGAATTCTGGATTTTCCAATTCATGAACGACATCCAACGGTGGTGCATTTGACTGTGCACTTGGGAAATAGTCAACGCGTCTACTTCATGGAAGACAATTTATATGGGAGGGTCAATGAGTCGCCGAAGACGACATTGACTGTATTTTTCTTACTTTGCCAGAAAGAGGACTTCGCCAAAAAGCTACGGTATTGTGATGTCCAAAAGTATTACATTTGGGACGCATCAGGAAAAGTTTTCAAGCGTCGTGTTCAAGGGGTCGTTGTACGTGGTTATCCCAATGTCAGAGCAACGGACGCTCTGGGTCGCGCCTATTCTGTGCATCCAAATAACTTTGAACGCTTCTTCCTGTGGCTCTTACTTCACATGGTAAGGGGTCCTACTTCGTTTGGAGCTCTCAGGACTATAAATGGTCGAATCTGTGCAACATTCCCCGAGGCCTGTCAATTGAGAGGCTTGCTTGAAGATGATGCGCAGTGGGACGCTACGATCTCTGAAGCAGCCACGGCTCAATCACATGCAAGGCTGAGAAATCTATTCGTCATCTTACTGATTACTTGCGGACCATCTAATCCGGAACAATTGTGGGAGTCACACAAAGAAAGTCTGCCCGAAGACATTCTCATACAAGCTCGCAGACGGAATCCTGGAATGAATTTGGATTACACACCTGATATGTTCAATCAAGCACTGATTATTCTCGAAGACAAAGCTTTGGAGATGGCTGGCAAAGACCTCAAGCAATTAGGCCTTCCCACTCCTCAAAGAAATCTCGGTGATCGATTGAGTAGAGAAATGTTCAGAGAAACAAGTTACGACGTGAACGAGTTGGATAAATATGTGTTAGCAAATGAACCATTACTGGTCGTAGATCAGAAAGCTGCTTACAATGTCATATTAGACCGGATCAATAGGAAAACTGGTGGAATAATTTTTCTTGATGCACCAGGTGAAACAGGGAAGACATTCGTCATCAACTTACTCTTAGCTAAAATTCGACAGCTACCGCAGATTGCAATTGCAGTGGCCACTTCGAGGATTGCTGCTACGTTGCTTCACGGTGTTCGTACTGCTCACTCAACACTAAAGCTGCCTCTCAACCTTACACATTGTGAAACTCCTCTCTGCAACATTAGCAAAGGAACAGGAGATGTCAAGGTTCTGCAAGAGTGCGAATTTATTGCGTGGGACGAGTGTTCAATGTCACACAGACAAGCATTAGAGACCTTGGATCGTACTCTTCAAGATCTTCATGGTAATGAGAAACATATGGGTGGAGTTGTTGTACTCCTTGTAGATGATTTTCGTCAAACGCTGCCTGTTGTTCGAAGGGGTACAATGGCTGATGAGCTTAAAGCTTGCTTGAAAGCTTCATACCTCTGGAGATATGTTATAAAATTAGGACTGAAAACCAACATGCGAGTTCATTTGCAAGGTGATGTGTCTGCTGGCCATTTCGCTCAACAACTGCTCACTATCGGAAANTGTTTATCGCATGGATGGTGGATGCAGTTAGATATACGTAAACAGCATTATGCATTCACCGTATCAGGGAACGACCCCGGAATCCCGGCTGGGAATTCCCAGGATCGAGAATTCTCGGAGCCGGGTGTGGGTGTGGATTTTGCTGAGGATAGCAAAGCATACCTACACGCACACTCACACACATGCGCACATCCGCCGGCTAACTTGTCTATTCTCGCTCGAGACAGGACATGCACATTCCAAGTACTTCGACTAAATAGTCTTTATCTTTTTAACAAATCGCTTTGAATAGAAATCCGCCAGGCACATTCGATGCAGTTTTCTTGACGCTGCAAGAGACCGAGTTTCATTTTTCCAACCACGGGATTCGTATAAAAGCGTGAAAATGACACGGAAAGTACTTGTACTTTTTAAGTAAAAGTTCATTTCCTATTCGTTTGACCTAGTTTTTCTACGAATACTGCAGTTGTAGAAATGAAACTAGGAGTTTTACAACGTGTGAGAAACTGCATTGAATGATCCCGGCGAATGCTTATCCAAAGTATTTTTTTAAAGATAAGATCTGTTTAGTTCAAGTACTTGGGCAATATTTGTCCTGTGTCTGACTCTTGCGAACATTGAGTTGTTAGTGGGAAATAAGTTCTACGCATCATTTTGAGAACATAACCTAACAATACTGGAAGGCAGGTATTTTGATCCATAGCTGGGTTACGTATGACCTCTGAAAACTTCACAGTCCCTGTCTCAAGAGATGAGCAGCTCTATTTGGAAATCGTAGCATGCAAATTCATAACTAGAAGTATCTTTTCTTCCGATCGGCGATTGCAGAACTCATGTGGTTAGGCGTCGAATATCGCCAACCTACTTATATGTTTGTTCGAGTTGTTGCTATGTTCTTGCTGGATTTATTTTCTTTTGCTTTTGTATATAATAGAAGCATGCAGAATATTCATGGGGTTCCGCCATTGAATTTTTTTTCTCGTTTCCCAACGAACGTTTATTGATGTCAATCACTCGAATGAGTAACGCCAATAATCGTTCAGCAGCAAATGGAGAAAATTCAATCACAGAGAGTGATACAACTACATGTCGAAATAAAGAGGCAGCGAAAAGAAACATAGCTTGGGGGTGCCAAGTTGGGATCCTCACATCGATTTCGGGGTTGCTTCTACAGGAAGAAAAAATTGTTTCTATCGTTGTTTCAGAAGTAAGGGGTACTTGAGCACACCCAGTATCCCTGGCTCCGCCGCCTATTGTCGTATATCACGTGAATATAGGGAAACAGAATTTTGAAACTCACCTCCACAATGAGACAGTAATTATATATTATATGCGATTTTTTACGGAAAAAATAAAATCTCTAGAAGCAACAATAGAAGTTTCGATCGCCGTGATAAGCATCACAATTGGAAGACTATCGACGGAGGAAAGCAGATCAAAGTAAAGACACCCAGGTGAAAGAATCACAACTGTAAATGGTTGCACGTGGTGAGGTTACGATAGGAGACGGCGATTGTTTATTGGAATTGTTTTATATATGATAGAAACGTAGAGAAAAATCCGAACTGGAATGCGCCATTCGTCGGATACAGGCAAATAAAATTATGTTATTTGATGTGCAAATTGCTACACTAGTGTGTCACAAAGGCTAGGACATTGGTTTCGCTTTATTCGAATTCATCTCGGACTATTTTATCCACAGTGCATAAGCTTTGACTAGTACGAAAGATACAGCGAATGAGGGTCATAAAACCAGGGTCGGCAACCAACCTGCATCTCCCAATAACCGGTTAGTTGCTCTAATACTAAGCTACCTAGCCTTCTCCCTAATCTCTAAATGACTACGTATCCGACATCCACTTCAAGACGACACGCACGAGGATAGTAATGATCAAGAAACGATGTCATAAATCCTATTGCTGCACGAGGACTTTCCATTCCTCGAAGCCGGTAACACGAATGTTGCTCCCAGCATAGTTGAGGATATGGGTGCTGGTGTTGGCGAGGATGAGGGTATCAATGTGAGTCTCGAAGGAGCTGATGGTGAGTTTTGGTTGTGTTTATGGCTTAATCTCGATTTCAGGAGCAAGTGCCACTGGGAATCAACTGTCGTGGGAGCATCATTCATGAAACCCTCGAAGCCAGACTAGTCTTCCGAAGCAGAAAAACAGAGTTCTGGTTCACAACTATTACATCAGGAAAATATAGCTACTGCTTCTTGCTATCAACTATCAAGCTCCAATAATGGGCTCTATGACGCACGAAAGTCTTTACATCCTTTATGAGTTATTTCCATCGTTCAAACTAGAAGAAAGAATGGATGCTCTGTCTTCTCACTTGCCCACTAGTATACACAAGACAGAAGTGAATATCCACGGGCGATATGCTTCAGTAAGCATGAGAGACTTATTGAAATAAGTTCATTGACTGCGCATGGGTATTGAATGTACTGTGCTGTTATATATATACAGGGCGCACCATAAATAACACCCGATAAGAAATTTAAATATCTCCGCCAGATGTCGCCTAAACGAGCTGAAATTTTTATCAGTGATAGAGGCTTACTTAAATTTTTTTCCATACAAAAAACATGGGCAAATCACTGCTCCTATGTAGTAAGATCAACATCAATAAGGATTTTTCACTTGTAAGGGCTCTACAAAATGCTACAGGATGATTCTAGAGCATTTTTATAAACTTTTACCCGTCTATTTATGCTCTCTTATACACAAATAATAAGACTCCATCGTAACTGAAGTGTATACATTCTTAAATTTCAGATTTAAAATAATACATGGCACGACGTCAATTGAGTGTGAACGAGAAAACATGGATTGTCAAACACATGTATCTACTTGAATATCCTATCAATGTGCAAAGATTATGGTCTAAGGGAATAAATAATAATCCTCCAGATCGAAAAACGATAAGATTACTTATGAACAAATTTGAACAGACTGGTTCGGTACTCAATATTGATCCACCTGGTAGACCAGTATCAGTTACTGATCAACCTACAAAAGATGAAGTTTCGTCGATTTTGGAAAAAGAACCTCGAACGTCGACTCGTCAAATGAGTTCAGAATGAAATGTTTCAAGATCTTCAGTTCGACTTATCTACAAGTCTATGGGCTTTAAGCCATATACTCCTAGACTAGTTCATGAACTCAATGAGGATGATTTTGACCGAAGATTTGCATATTGCGAAACATTTTTATCGCTTCTAGAAAACGAGTCTGATCTTATTCATCGTGTCATGTGGTCGAATGAGGCAGTATTTAAACTCAATGGGCACATTAATCGTCATAATTCTGTCTGTTGGGCAACTCAAAATCCAAATGTTACATGGGACCAAACAATGCAAGCAGAAGGGCTTACTGCATGAGCTAGAATTTGGTGTCAGGATGTAATCAGGAGCTTACTTCTTTGATAACACGGTGACTGGTCAAAGTTATGTTAAAATGCTGAATGATTACTTGTATCCAATATCTTGTGAATTACCAGGTAACGGATCAATTTGTTTTATGCACGATGGCGTGCCAGCGCATTATGCTTTTGATGTTCGAGATTGGTTAGACGAAAATTTTCCAGCAAGGTGTATTGGTCGTCGTGGTGCAGTTGACTGACCTGCTCGATCGCCTGAGCTCACTCCTGCTGACTATTTTTGTGGGGTTATCGCAAAGATATTGTGTACAAAAACACGCCTCGAAACTTATCCAGTCTCAAACAATCAATCATCTCAGCCTTTTCAACAACAATAGATTCTGATCTGTGCAAGAAAGTTTGTGAATCAGTGCCCGAAAGACTTCCAAGATGGATCGATGCTAATGGATATCAATTCGAACATTTGAATTAAGTTACCCGATAATCTCAATTTGTATTCGCTATTAACCATATAATAAACTTTCTTTTGATTTTCTCATGTCACTACTTGGGAAAAGAGTCTTAGAAATGCGTATAGGTCATCTTATAACATTTTGTATAACCCGTAACAAGTGAAAACTCCTTATTGATGTTGATATTACTACATAGGAGCAGTGATTTGCCCATGTTTCTCGCATGAAAAAAATTTTTAAGTAATTCTCTATCATTGGTAAAAAGTGCAGCTCGTTTAGTCGACATCTGGCGGAGATATTTAAATTGCTTATCTTGGTATTATATATGGCCCACCCTGTATATATATATGTATGCGTGCCCGCTTCACAGCTCTCTGCTCCTCGCGCTTATTCTTTTCTCTTACCGTCATATTCAATTCGTCGCGTACTCTCTTCTCTTGTTCACTGCCTTTTTTATTCGCTTGCTCTATTATCTTGCTCATTGCTTTCTCTTACTAATTTATCTCTCTCGCGTAGATATTTCTCTCGCTCGTCGATTTCTCTCGTTATTTCCTCGTATTTCTTTGATTGAAAATTGAAATGCTGCTGTAGCGATTAGACTTCAATTTAACATAGAAAAATGTGAGCGAAATCATCGATGATTACATCGTTCTCGCCGGTTTTATAAGTCGGAGGGGCTAAAATTCGGCAGACTGACAGAGGCAGGTTGTATGGTAGGCATTGGCACATAGTTTTTCCCTCAACTGTCAAAATTTTGCAGGCACACCATGGAATATGGGAGAAGCTTGCACTCCATCAATCTCTGTTTCATTGAGAACCATGCATGATTGTCTATATAGAGTCCCGATTGGAAGGATAGAAAAGGTACAAATGTAAGGAAGCGGAGAGAGATCGAACAAAGCAAAGAAACATAAGACTATTAAAATTCGATCAATAAAACACGATCGAAATGAGTGTTGAAGTCTATAGCGAAAATATTGGACTCATCCCCGCCCTCAGACCTTGGCAGGCAACGCTACGTGCTATTTTGGTGACCGTGCTTCCTTGTCGATGACAGTGCACTTTTAATTTTGGCCCGTCAAATATGTCTCAAACAGCTCACGTCGCAATGATTTATGTCTAGCAATGTGTCGTAAAAGTCAAATGCGTTGCAAAAAGCGCCACTATTTGCGAGCCATTTGACTTTTACGACACATTTCTAGACATAAATCATTGCGACGTGAGCTGTTTGCAACACATGTGACGGAAAAAAGTTAAGAGTGTACGGTAGCAAACGACATTGTCACTCTGAACCTGGTTTATTCTACCACTAAAGGTGAATGACGCTTTAACTGTCTTCACCAAAGTCGTTGTAAAGGTGCTTTAGATAAAGATCAATCATATAACTCTTAATACACAGGGCGAGAAAAAGTATATAATAGCAAATTAGCTTGAGACTATGTCATGTTACTTGGCAGTGAATCTTTTACAGAAGACAACAAGTAACGTTCGTCGCTTTCACTCACTGGGCCCTCGACTGAATAAGGTAGAAGTATTTTCTATAGATGCTGATAGCGATAGAACCGATCTATCAATTCTATCTCTGAAATAGTGAAGCAAATTTCTCTCTAATTGTAAGTGTAAGACACAGTTTTGTCTTTTTGTAAAGCCATTTAAAGTAAACCACATTTTCCAACTAAAAGTCGTAAAGAAAGCCAAACTATCTATATCCAAGTCAACTTTAATTATTAAACTCTTCTGGCGCAATAAATAGTACGGTATTATGAGATGTTAATATATGCTCACACAATGGTGATAAGAACCTTTAGATTAAATGTTTTATTTGAACGACAGCACATAAATATAATTGATTTATTAGCAATAATGAACATGCAAATGAGTAAAAGAAAACGAAGAAATATTTAATAAACATCATTCTATTATGTACTTAAAAAGGTAAAAAAAGCAAAGTACTAAAGAATATGGCATAGTAATACGGCAAGAGCAACTACGAAATAAGTAGAATATAGAGTGAAATATGTAAACAAAAAAGACAAGAGATATAATACAAAAATTAGAGCAAGAAAAACAAAAACTCTAACACACCTTACATAGGTGAAAGTATATGTATAACAGCCGTAAACAAAATTTTGTATAATACAAAGAAAACGTAAAGACCACTCAAGAAAACGCATTTGTGTTTCTGAATATAGTTTATCTAGTCTTTCTACTTTGGCGAGTAGAGATTTACTTGGTTTGATTAATGAAATCTTGTAGTCAAAATGCTACAACATGAATAGATCAGCCAAGCGTTTTACACGCGAGGGTATGGATTCATGTTTTCTTTAACCATTATCCACAGCGGACACCCAAACTCACATCCACACCCACCCGCCAACTCTTCCACCAGTGTGTGGTTGACATGTATGCGAAGATTGAGAGTGAGCGACTATTGTATGCACGCCTCAATCAGAAGAAACTTAGAGTGGACGAATACATTCACCTGAGAGATGCAGTAGCCAATGATGGCAATGCCAACAACCTTGCTCAATTAGTGATTCTACCATCCACCTTCACGGGAAGCCCACGTCACATGCACGAATACACCCAATATACTATGACATATGTCAGAAACTACAGAAGACCCGACCTATTTGTGACGTTCACTTGCAATACTAAATGGCAAGAAATCCAAGCCGAGCTAATGATTGGTCAGACTCATTACGATCGTCACGATTTGTTGGCAAGAGTGTTCAGGCAAAAGCTCATTAAGCTTATGGATGCTATCATCAAGAGTCATATATTTTGACCAACGCGATGCTGGATGTATTCCATCGAATGGTAAAAGAGGGAACTACCACATGTTCACATCTTGATATGGCTAAAGGATACAATTAGGCCAGATCAGATAGACAGCGTCATCAGTGCTGAGTTACCCGATCCTCAACAAGATCCATGTCTGTTTGGCATAATCATCAAAAACATGATACACGGTCTTTGTGGTAATGTCAATGCTAGCTCTTCCTTCATGATGAACGGAAAGTGTACCAAAAGATACCCAAGACAAACTCCTCAATGACACTCAAACCGGAGAAGACGGGTATCCGTTGTACAGAAGAAGAACGCCAGAAAATAGTGGTGTCAAAGTGAAAATCAAGGTGAAAATTGTCAATTCATACCGAGAGATTGAAATCGACAATACATGGGTTGTGCCGTATTGTCCATTGCTTTTCGGGATCTTTCAAGCCCACATCAATGTTAAATATTGCAACTCGGTTAAGTCAATCAAGTAGATTTGCAAACAAGTAAACAAGGGCAGTGACCAGGCCATGTTTGGCTTGGAAAAATATGGAATAGCCATTGATGGAGTTCAACGCTACCTGTTAGGTAGATACATCAGCAGCAATGAGATCGTTTGGCGAATTCTGGATTTTCAAATTCACGAGAGGCATCCAGCGGTGGTACATTTGAGTGTGCACTTGAAAAATGGTCAGTGCGTCTATTTCATAGAAGATAACCTATACGAGAGAGTTAATGAACTTCCGAAAACCACATTGACTGCATTTTTCTTATTCTGTCAGCAAGACAAGTTCGCCAAAACGCTACTCTATTGTGATGTTCCAAAATACTACACTTGGGATGCATCAAGAAAAGTTTTCAAGCGTCGAGTTCAAGGAGCCGCTGTACCTGATTATGCCGATTTAAGAGCAACTGATGCTCTTGGCCGCATCTATACTGTGCATCGAAATAACTTTGAATGCTTCTTCCTGCGACTCTTACTTTACCATGCCAGAGGTCCTACTTCGTTTTAAGCTCTCAGGACTGTTAATGGTCGAATATGTGCTTCATTTCGTGAGGCTTGTGAAGTAAGAGACTTACTCGAAGATGATACACATTGGAATGCCACGATGCTCGAAGCTGCTGCCGCTCAGTCACCTGCAAGACTGAGAAACTTGTTTGCCATCTTGTAGATCACTTGTGGGCCATCGAACCCGAGACAATTGTGAGAGTCTCACAAAGAAAGCCTGACCGAAAACATTCTCATTCAAGCTTGCAAACATAATCCTGGAATGGCTTTGGCTTACACATCTAACATGTTCAATCAAGCACTAATCTTCTTCGAAGATAAAGTTCTGGAGATAGTTGACAGAGGCCTCAAGCAGCTAGGCCTTCCTACTCCTCAAAGAAATCTGGGTGATCGATTGAGCAGAGAAATGCTCAGAGAAACAAGCTCCGACGTAGACCAGTTGCATAAATATGTGCCACCAAATGAGCCACTACTGGTGACAGACCAGATAGTTACTTACAACACCATATTGGACCTGGTGAATAGGAAAACCGGAGAAATATTTTTCATGAATGCACCAGGTGGAACAAGACAGGGATTTTTCATCAACTTACTCTTAGCTAAGATCCGACAGCAATCAAGAATTGCAATTGCAGTGATCTCCTCTGGAATTGCTGCCACATTACTTCACGGTGGTCGTACTGCTCACTCAACACTCAAGCTGCCTCTTAAAGTTTCACATTGTGAAAGTTCTCTCTGCAACATCAGCAACGAAACAAGAGAAGCCAATGTCCTGCAAGAGTGTATGCTTATTGTGTGGGATGAGTGTACAATGTCTCACAAACGCGCATTGGAGGCTCTGGATCGAACTCTTCAAGATTTTCGGGGTAACCAGACACTTATGAGTAGGGTTGTTTTACTCCTAGCAGATGATTTTCATCAAACACTGCCCGTCATCTCAAAGGGAACAATGGACGATGAACTTAAAGCATGCTTGAAAGCTTCAAATCTTCGGAAGATATATACGCAAACTGAGACTTACAACCAACATGCGAGTCCATTTGCAGAGCGATGTATCTGCTTGCCACTTTGCTCAACAACTACTCGCTCTTGGTGATGGGAAAGTACCAGTTGATATGACCAGTGAACTCGTCAGCATTCCAAATAACTTTTGCAATATAGTAGAGCCAATTGAAGTACCGAAAACCAGTGTGTTTCCAAATATGCGGTGCCATTTCAACGATCACAAATGGCTTTGTGAGCGTGCCATTCTTGCTCCTAAAAATAACAGCGTAAATGCTATCAACTTACAGATTCAACAGCAGTTGCCTGGAGAAGCTACATCGTCCAAGTCGGTCGACACAGTTGTGGATGTTAACGAGGTAGTTCAGCACCCCACTGAAGTTCTTAACTCTCTCGAGCCTCATAGGATGCCGCCACATAAATTGGTGCTCAAAGTTGGCTCTCCCATTATGCTTCTGAGGAGTAGTGTCACATATCCAAGATTTTGGAGATGCCACCACATCTCCCACGGGAGATGCCGCGTCTCCCGCTGGAGACGCGGCACCCACACTCGAAAGATGTGGTCATTCACCACTGGAGATGTAAGATCTCCTTTAGAGATGCGCATTCCCCACACCTACANAAAAAAACATTATGTAACGTTTCTTTTTTAATTGCATTGATTTCTTGAGTGATTCTGTTCTTTAAATCGTTCAGATCTTTTACAGTAGTTATATATATATTTGTTTTGATATGGCCCCATAAAAAAAGTCTAATGGGATCAAGTCTGATGACCGTGGAGCCCATGAAATCGATCCACCTCTTCCTATCCACCGACCATCAAACTTGTCATTCAACCAAGAGCGAACTGCCTTCGAGAAATGGATTGGCGCCTCATCCTGTTGAAATATGACCTTTTTGGTAATCCGTTTTTCCTGTAAAAATGGATAAAAGAAGTTTTTTAGCATGTCTAAATAATGTTGTTGATTGATTGTCGGTTCTTGAAAAAAAAATGGTCCAACAATTAGCTTGCTCGACATACCACACCATACAGTAAGTTTTAGCGAGTTCATTTCAACTTCTACAGTAGCATGGGGGTTACTTTGACTCCAAATACGGCAATTATGCTTATTAACCATTCCTGAAATATGAAAAGTTGCTTCATCAGAAAAAAAGATCAGATCGTCATTATTTTTATCAGTAAGAATTGGTAAAAGCAATTCAGCAATTTCTACACGTAAATCCATATCCTCGTCATATATCATTTGTGTTAAATGCATTTTATAGGGTTTATATTTTAAAACTTCACGCATTATCCGATGCACCACCGATTTTGAAATGTTAACTTCATGAGAAACACCACGAATACTGTTGATTGGATTATTTGTCAGCTCTTCATCAATTTCTTCGACTTTTTCACCTGTTGCTGACGGTGGTCTTCCAGATCGTTCACGATCATGTACCGAACCAGTTTGAAGAAATTTATTATAGATGGCTTTGATGGTCTTCTCTGTAGGAATATCAGGCCGATTTTCACGTTGAAAATGTCGTCTGACTAATGATGGATATTCCAACTTAGCCATCATGACTACAATTTCAATTCTTAACTGTAAGCTAACTGACATTTAGTTTTGTTGAAAATGGGTATATATTCGATTAGTCACTTATGGTTTATAAAAGAAAGAATTATCCTCTATACATGATCAACTACTAGTTGGTGGAGGCCAACATTCGTTATACAGATGGAGCACTAACCTCATTCTCACGAAGAGAGGTTGTCCTTAGTTGAATGACATGTTTGACGGTCGGTGGATAGGAAGAGGTGGATCGATTTCATGGACTCCACGGTCATCAGACTTGATCCCATTAGACTTTTTTTATGGGGCCATATCAAAACAAATATATATATAACTACTGTAAAAGATCTGAACGATTTAAAGAACAGAATCACTCAAGAAATCAATGCAATTAAAAAAGAAACGTTACATAATGTTTTTTTGGAAATAGAAAAAAAGATTAAATTTTTGTATTTCAGTTAAAGGTAATACCTTTGAACAGTATTTTTATGGTTCGTTCATATCAATAAAAACTTGGTGCATTTGCCTATCATTTGAAAAAAAAATAGTTGATATATTCAAATCAAATAGCAAAGATATATGAAAAATTTAAGTGTAAGGGACTTTTGGGACACCCGGTATATTTTAAATTAATTCATTTAAATAAAATACAGAAATGTATAGATCAATTTATTTAAAACAGTTTAAATAGATGAGAAACACCGATGCACTAGCATGTACAAAAATAAAATAAAATTGAACAAAAACAGAAAATGATGAAATTAAATGAAAAATAGAAAGTAAATATTTCGAGGATTCATTTATTTTTTCTTCGATTTTTAACTGATGAGTAACTTCTACCCCTTTCGTGAATTGCTACACTGAACGAAAAGAATAACGAATTTTCATTCTCAGATGTTCATTTTTTGAATAAGATTAACTATTTATGTAAATATACAAACGATAATTGGTCAAATTTTGGTTTCAAAATTTTAGATAAAATATAATTTCAGATTAATAAATAATGTTCTAGATTTATAAGGAAAACTAATGAAGCAAGTGCTAAATAATAGGCATTCAAACAGATCACAACGACTTCAATAGCCTTAAGATACGCTTGTCATACGGAAGACACTAAATTTATATTTTATTTATTTTTCGACATATGATTAAATGGAATGTAGTTATGATTTTAATAAGTTCGTTTTTTCGTAATGATCTAAGTATTTCCGTTTATTTTTATCGCATATGTTAATTTCGAGAATAATACAGAACTTACTTGTCTGTAATCTATATATACAAAGAAGAATGTTTGTCTGTTTGTCTGTTCGCTTTTCACTTGGACACGGTAATAGCAAATGCAATGAAATTTTGCAGGAACTATCCTTTCGTTCAGGGGAAGGTCATAGGGTGGTTTTCAACCCAAAGCTTTCATCTGAGGGGGGAGTGTTTTCCCCCTTCTTTTGTTAAATTACTACAATAAATGCCTTTTCTATAGAGTCCGTGGGTGTGACTGTTTCTATCTATATACCATAAGGAAGAAAACGCACATATTAGTCTTTTTTTCTAGCTCACAATGATGGCATATTCGTTCTTTTTCTTGACTCACAGCGATGACGCATCAGTTCTTTTTCGTGACTCACGGTGGTGGCGATTTAGTGATATGAATGTATTTGTTTACAATATTTAGATAATCAGCTGTAACATATTTTTGAATATAATTTGGCTTCTTTGTCATTTGTTATGCATGCCCATGATGTAACGCATTCCTTCTGGCACGTCATGTCATCATTAGAATTTTCGCATCGTGCTGTAGGGTGACGTTATAGGAATGCTTCAGTGTTTCGTTTCTATATATATAGATGTCTTTTTCTATTGTTTTTCGATAACAGAGTTATATATTCACTATAGTGTTTCTCATCCTTCGACGATTTCAATACAATACATATAATATTGTACCAGTAAACATATATACGCAAAAACAAGTAAGTGTATAACATCTAATAGAAGCATTGTGAAACTCACAAAACACTAAAGTACTTTCGATTGTGATATCGAGAACAAATTTAAAAGGGAGCTTGGTAAAAAGCCTTTCTTAAAGAGCATTTCCTACCTTTGCTACTTACATTAGGAATATTACTAGATGCCACGGAAAAGAGGAACCTCTTTGGCAAGAAGCACAGCAGCTTCAAGAAAAATGGCAGCTTTCAGAGCAGCTGAAACTCCGGAACAACGACAAGCTCGACGCAAGGAAGATCGAGGAAGGCATAATGCCTCAAGAGCAGCCGAAACTACAGAACAGACACAAACACGGCTTGCCGCTCAGCGCACAAGACAGGTGGTTTCTAGAGCAGCCGAGACTTCAGAACAAGAACAAGTCCGACGCGAGGAAGATCGAGCAAGGCATACTGCTTCAAGAGCAGCCGAAACTACAGAACAGATACAAACACGGCCTGCGGATCAGTGCACAAGGCAAGCAGCTTCCAGGGCAGCCGAGACCTCAGAAGAAGGACAGGCTCGACGCGAGCAAGATCGAACCAGGCATGTGGATGCCAGAGCAGTGGAGACTCCGAGCCAAAGACGAGCTCGGAGCGAAGATCAACGTACAAGACAAGCAGCCTTAAGAGCAGCACGCTGGACAGCTCTAGAAGGTGAAGCATTCCGATACAATCCAACCAACAACTACGACATTGATCCTCAATTTAATATTGGACAAATGAGCGACACTTGCTCACACTGTAGTGCTCTCAAGTGGGTTGGAGAAGATCCAGGCATGTGCTGCTCCAGCGACAAGGTCAAGTTATCAGAACTAAAACCTCCTCCAGAGCCACTGGAATCATTAATGTTAGGAACAACGGATAAATCCAAACATTTTCTAGAGAACATTAGGAAGTATAATTCTTGCTTTCAGATGACGTCTTTTGGTACCACAAATGAGGTATGCGAATCAGGTTTCATGCCCACTTTTAAGGTTCAAGGTCAAGTTTACCATCGTGTGGGATCGCTACTACCACTTCCCAATGAAGAGCATCGATTTCTTCAAATTTATTTCCTGGGCGACGAACAAAAAGAAGTGAACCAACGTTGCAGTAATATTCCAGGTACAAGGAGAGACATCGTTCTGGAATTACAGCGAATGCTTCATCAACATAACAACTGTGTTCATATGTTTAAGACTGCTCTTCAACGGATGCCGTCTGATACGTACAGGGTGGTCATTCGAGCGGATAAGAAACCTGCTGGGCAACATGCCGGACGTTTTAATGAAACGGTGACAAATGAAGTGGCGTTCGTCATTGTGGGTAATAAGTTTGATAGACGAGACATCATCTTGGAAAAAATGAACAACCAACTGCAAAGAGTGGTAGAAACACATAGGTCGTATGACGCCCTGCAATATCCTCTCATCTTTTGGGAAGAAGAAGATGGCTATCACTCCAACATTATGCAGGTTAATCCAACAACGGGAGCACCTGTCAACGGAGAAAAGGTATTGGCAATGGACTTTTATGCATACAGAATAATGGTGCGAGCAGAAGACGGGAATCACATATTAAGGTGTCGTCAACTCTTTCATCAGTTTATAGTCGATATGTATGCCAAGATTGAGAGTGAGCGGCTATTGTATGTGCGTCTCAATCAAAAGAAACTTAGAGTGGACGAATACATTCACCTAAGAGATGCGATAGCAAATGATGGGAATGCCAACAACCTTGGCCAGTTAGTGATTCTACCATCCACATTCACCGGCAGTCCACGTCACATGCACGAGTACACACAAGATGCTATGACATATATCAGAAGCTATGGAAGACCCGATCTCTTTATCACGTTCACTTGCAATCCAAAGTGGGAAGAAATCCAAGTGGAGCTGATGCCAGGCCAAACTCATTATGATCGTCACGATCTTACGACAAGAGTATTCAGACAAAAGCTCATTAAACTTATGGATGCTATAACCAAGGGTCGTGTGTATGGAGCATCTCGATGCTGGATTTACTCCATCGAATGGCAAAAGCGGGGTTTGCCACACGCACATATCTTAGTATGGTTGAAGGAGAAAATTAAGGCGGATCGAATAGACAGCATCATTAGTGCAGAGCTACCTGATCCGCAGCAGGATCCAAGTCTGCTTAAAATAATAGTGAAAAACACGATACATGGTCCTCGCGGTAGTATCAATCCTGGCGCATCCTGCATGAAAGATGGCAAGTGCACAAAAAAGTATCCAAGAAATTTTGTGGACCAAACTGAAACCGGAGAAGATGGCTATCCGCTTTACAAAAGAAGAAGTCCAGAAGATGGTGGCATGAAAGCTAAAATTAAGATGAGATTTGGAAATTCCTCTCGACCGATTGATATGGAAATCGACAACAGATGGGTTGTCCCCTACTGTCCATTACTCTCTCGGATCTTTCAAGCTCACTTTAATGTTGAGTATTGCAACTCGGTGAAGTCAATCAAGTACATTTGCAAATATGTGAACAAGGGTAGTGATCAGGCAGCGTTTGGCTTGGAAAAAGAAGGAACAGCAACAATCGATGAAGTTCAACGTTATTTGATGGGTAGATATGTTAGTAGCAATGAAGCGGTTTAGCGAATCCTCGATTTTCCCATCCATGAGCGACATCCTATGGTGGTGCACTTGGCTGTGCACTTAGAAAATGGTCAACGCGTCTATTTTACGGAAGATAACCTACTTGACAGAGTCAATGAACCACCGAACACTACATTAACTGCGTTCTTCTTACTCTGTCAGAAAGATGATTTCGCCAAGACGTTACTATATTGTGATGTCCCAAAATATTACACATAGAATGCATCAGCAAAAGTTTTCAAGCGCCGTGCCCAAGGAACTGCAGTACCTGGATGGAACGGTGTAAGAGCAACAGATGCTCTTGGTCGTGTTTATACCGTACATCCAAACAATTTTGAATGCTTCTTTCTGCGACTCTTACTCCATGTGGTCAAAGGTCCTACTTCCTTCGAAGCTCTTAGGACCGTTAATGGCCAGGTCTGCGCAACAT